ACCTGTCAGAACTTGTTTTCTCTTTTTTTTTTTTTGGTACTGGAGATCAACTCAGGACCTTGTGCTTGCAAGGCAGGCAGCAGAAACACTGAGCTAAATCCCTGGCTACACATTGTTCTTTCTGGATCACAATTTACATTTTTCAATTTTTTTCTGCTCTGCCTTTTGCCCATAATTCTTACTACCAGTCTGGCTAAAAGCAGCCAATAGTGCCTATTGATTGAATAGTACCACAGATTGAATGTTGGACTGCCTTGAAATTTCCTCCACCAGATTAGTCTACCACCCTTAATCTCACTCTCCTACAAAGTCTCAGGGCTTGAGAAAAATGTAGACAAATTTTCTGCCAGAGATTAACAGACGTGGCCTATAGTTCAACTGCTAGTGGAGTCCTTGTTCCCAAATGAAACCTCCTGAGCCTGGTTTTTATTGTTTGCATTCCTGTCAGCATTCTAGCCTTCTGAGCTCTGACAAGAATCACCCATCAGGCTCTGTTACAACTTTCTAAGACTTTTATGTGTCATATCCTCAAACCTTTCCAAACACCTCCCACAAACCAGTTTTAGAGGCTTCCGAAGAACATGGGTAGGTCACAGTAAAGTCCCCATTCTTTTTACTAGTGTTCTGTATTTCTCATCACTGAGACATAATACTCAACACCCACAACTTAGGAAAGGAGAGATTTAATTTCTTCGCAGTTTCATTCCATGATCAGCTGGCATTGTGGCAGAAGGGCATGGTAGAACAACACTGCTTAAATTCATGGCAGCTGAGAAGCAGAGCAGGGCAAGGATGCCAGAGAGGAATGGGTTAGTGAAGGACTATACTTACTACCTAAGGTACACTTCCATCACCCACCCAGACATACCCAGAGTGTACTAATCTCCTAAACTTTTCTTAATCCACTGACGTTGTCACATTAGGATTAAATGGTCACAGCAAACTACTGAATATCCCTCTACTGCAGTTGTGTTCTCTATACAAAAAAGACTTTAATATTATATTATCTCTTTCTTTATATTATAGTCAAATGTTCTTTTCTCTCAGGTGGGACATCAGATTCAAAATACCTAAAAACAGCGGGACAAGTTCTCTGCATTCTCTTGATCTGCATGTGGCCTCTCTATCTGTTCACTTAATCAGTCCTGCTTGACATATGAGAATCAGCTAATAATTTCTTCCTCAGTCTTGCAGCCTCTTCTCCATCTCTGCTGTTGGTTCCCTAGTTCATCACCTCTACCTTGGGCTGACTTACCAGCTTCTAACTGTACTGTTCAGTAGAATAGTCACATACCATATACAGGGTAAGTGTCCCTTATCTAAAATGCGTGAGACCAGAGAGGTTTCAGATTTTTTACTTTGTAGGAGTTTGGAATATTTGTATGTGCACAGTGAGATCTCTTTGGGGAGGAGACCGAAGTCTAAACATTCATTTATGTTTAATATACACTGTATACACAGAACATAAAGGTACATTTAGACAATATTTTAGTGTACCCATATTTTAACTCATTCTTGTTTTCTATCTGTATGTCTTTTCTAATGAGATGTTTAATTTATTTTATCCTTGTTTTAATTGAGTTGTTTCCATATGGTTGGTTTTCATAAATTCTTGGTATGCCACTGATATACTTTATCGTACATGTACATATATATTTTTCTCCCAGTGGATGATTATCTTTTCATACTCTTAACAGTATTTCACAGAGTGAAGTTTTAATTTTAGTGAAGTCCCACTTATCATTTTCCCCCGTGATTTTCACTTTTGGTGCTATAGCAAAAGACTATCACCAAACCTGAGAGCATGTAGATTTTTTTCCTGTTTTTTCTGGAAGTTTTATAGTGTGTTTTACATGGAGGCCTTTAGTCCACTTTGAATTAATTTCTGCATGAAAGTGTAAGATCTCTGCTTAAGTTCATTTTTCTGCACATAGATATAGAGTTGTAGTTTTATCGAAAAGATATTCTTTCTCTATTGAATTATCTTTATGCCTTTGTCAAAAATCATTTGAAAATATTTGTACGAGTCTATTTGTGAGCTTTCTGTTTTATTCATTGATTTATTCTGTATTATCACCAGTGCTGTGCTATCTTGATTACTATAGCTTTATAACAAGCTTTTAAAGTGGGTAGTGAGTCCTTCAATTTTGTACTTTTTTTTGTTGTTGTTGTTGTTTTGCTTTTTGAGACAGGGTCTCACTAGAGACTGATCTGGAATTCACTATGTAGCCAGGCTGGTCTCGAACTCATGGCGATCCTCCTGCCTCAGCCTCCTGAGTGCTGGGGTTACAGGTGTGCACCACCACACCCAGCTAGTTTTGTACTTCTTTGATATTGGATCGGCTATTCTAAGCCCTTTGCCTCTTCATATAAATCCTAAGGGAGTGTTGCTTGGCTTCTAAATAAATTTAAAAAATAGGATGTTGCAGAATAAATGTGATGTTTCTTTAATTCTCTTTTCAGGTGGTTCTTTGAAGCTCTGAAGTATCCAAAGTTTTCCAAAGCTAATGTCATCAATGGAATTCTCATGACAGTGGTGTTCTTCATTGTGCGGATTGCTGTAATACCTCCTTTCTATGGCTTCTTGTATTCTGTGTATGGAACAGAACCCTACATCAGGCTGGGATTTGTAATCCAATATTCCTGGATCTCTACTTGTATTGTTTTGGATGTGATGAATGTCATGTGGATGATCAAAATCTCTAAAGGGTGCATCAAAGTCATCTCTCTCATCAGACAAGAGAAAGCCAATAACAGTCTTCAAAATGGAAAACTTGATTAAAGGTGTGGTTTATCTAACACCTTTGTTTAGATAAGCAATCTTCATTATTACCCAACATTATATTTACTAATAGGATGGATTGGCATGTTCTTGTGCTTCCTTATGAATTCTAATTGTTATTCAGGGTTTCAGTGTCATATTTTCTTCTTTTTAGAAGAAACTAAAATTTAGTCTTTATTCCAAGATTTTCTGTTTTCTTCTGCATTAAAAGCATGGATAAAATCTTAAAATTTTAAATAAAAATTATAGATATAATGGTGAATCTTTTCAAAAATCTCATAGCCTGCATTAGTATTTTTCTCTGTGGAAAGATGACTGATAATTTGGTGCACTTGGTGTGCTACCACTTTTGCTGAAAAGATGAGAACATTTTTAAATCTGTAAATAACTCAACATTTTTTTGTGTTGTACTTTTTTCTTAGGTCAACACCTATGTAGGTTTTTACTTCCAAATTGTTGACATGATCTTTTCTCCAGGCTATTAAAAGTGACACTTTCTATTTTAGATATGCAATTATCTATTAGCAATGAAGTATTTTACTCATTTTGAGGATTTTTCGTTAGTTTGATCATGGAATATACTTCCTGGATTTTAAGATTTTTTTTAAGATATCACTTATTTTTATTTTAGCATTTTTATCAACTTATTTTTATTTTGTAGTAAGGCTTAAGGCAGATTTTATGGACCTCCTTCAAGGGTGAGATTCTTATAAGAGTTCACACTGATAAGTGACTGGGCTGCTGACGGTGAGCCTTTCAGAGCATTCAGTGATACAGCTACTGCAGCACGCGTGCCATGGTTTCACTGCCACAGGACTAGGCTAATTCTGTAGAAGAGAACTCACAAGGAAAAGCACTGCAACGTGGCTGGCTGTTTCCCTTTCATTTTTTTCTAAGAATAATATTGCTGTGCATAAAATCTCCCGAGTTTGGAACCTGACATCATCAGTGGTCGTCTTATGCAATATGTTTTGTCATGCTCCTAAAATAGGCCTCTTCTGGACCAGACCAAAATGACAAAATAATCAGTATTCGTGTTTTACTCAGTTTACATGCACACTTTTTTTCTCAGCACTTTGAGTGCTTTGAACTTCTGTCTTTCTTAAAAAAGCAGGAAGGAATAAGATAATTTATTCCAAGCTTTCTGGTTATCAAAATTATTGTCTTAACATGAAAATAAATGACTCTCTGTGTGTGTGTATGTGTGTGTGTGTGTGTGTGTGTGTGTGTATATACTTTGGTTTTTGTAGTCCTAATATAGAGTTATTTAACTCTTGTAGCTTTTATTTATTTTTCTCAAACACTTGACTTTAATGATGTTCTTAACCTAAGGTGGGAAAAATTAATTCAACTAATGGTAAATACTTGAACTTAATTGAACCCAAACCAAAAGATTTAATCCGTTCAGTTTCCCAATTTGAAGGAAAATGTTTGATTCACTTTTATTGTTTGTGTTATGATGATGAAAGGAGGCTAGCTGAATGTAATCAAGACTTTTATTTTGATTTGACTTTCCCGTGTGGCTAGATCCAGATAAGTTCTAGAACATTTAAAAATGGGAATTGAAAATTCAGTCAATAACTAAATGATGAAATGAGGTTGATTGGCTTATAAGAGGTACATTTGCTGGGTGTGGTGGCTCATGCCTGTAATCCCAGCACTCGGGAGGCCGAGGCAGGAGGATCACTGTGAGTTTGTGACCAGCCTGGGCTACATAGTGAGTGCCAGGTCAGCCTTAACTACACGGTGAGACCCTGTCTCAAAAAACCCAAAATTAAAAAAAAAAAAGAGGTACATTTATTTTTGACAAAGTAATATAAAATACAGGTATTTATTTTTAAAGCAGCTAATATTAATATTGATAATTGATCATTAAATTTATTGATGACATCATAGTCACTTAAATATGTATTGGTTGTCTAGAAGGTGAGGGTGTAGGAAAAAAAGTGATTTTATCTTGTTCATGCTCTTGAAAGCAAAGTGACTTTTTAAAAAAGGACGACATTTATATTATGAAACTTTTGGAACTCATTCCTTTACAAAAATAAACATTGAAATAAACATTTTTGACTCCTTGGATATTTTTCTAATTCTGAACACAGATTTTAAATTCAGCATCTAAACGATATGATAAAAAGCTACATTAGTGAGTTTCCTTGTAGTAGTTTCAATAGTTGTTTCATGCTTGAAACTTCACTTTTACTTTCATTCACATTACCTTTCACTGATGGTATAGATGCTCACTAATAGTATATTTAAAATAGCAAAGTTTCAAACAAAGGCTTGCTATCTCCTTAGTCTGAAATCCCTGTCTTTTGTTGGCTGGATGACAGTTAATTCAGGATCCAAATTCACTTTATAAAAGTAGGTTGTGTACATATCTTCATAAAATAGAAATGAAATGGAAATGCCACTATAAACTGCCATGTTACTTTTAAGTCAGATCTTACAGGAGCTGTACTTTACTGTTCTGTAATTGTATCCACTACTTAAAATACAAGTAAAAGTAGAACATATTTGTTAAACAGTGAATTTTTAATTTACTAAATGACAAACTTTTGCTAGACATTTTAAATGTTAAGTATTTTGGGTACATGGATTAACTTTAATGATTATATTAGGTATTATAGTATGTAACAATGCTAATAAATTATTTGTAGAAAATAAAAGCAAATTGGTATACATTTTTAAGCAATTCTATTTTTCTAGAAAAGATTAGTGACAACCTGAATGTGTAGTATTCTAAAAAATAAGTTATTGTGAAACTTAAAAGTGAATGAAAATCAACTAGTAGCATGCAAGATCGTAGATCCTTCATTGCACAGTTTATTTGTGAGAATTCAAAACTTAATAGCTTGGATTTATAAAGTTTGCATTCTTATGTATAAATCTTGAGGATTCTTTGCATTTACGTAAAACTCAAAATGGCATTTTGTATGAGCTCAAAGTAACCCAATCTTAGATTACCCACAGTATATTATTTTTTTATTCCAACTGTTATTTAATTTCATAGACTAGTTCCCTGTTAAGAAATGAATCAGGTCATTATCATCTTTAAGAGAGACTTTGCTGTGTTAAAGATGACCCAATACTGTCTTAAAAGTTTAAAAACCTGCCTAGTTTGTAGATGTTTGAATCAAATTCTTTTCTAAATTTTAATAGTTGACTCATCAAATTTTACTCGCGTCAGTTTTTAAATTGTATACTTCCTCTGAGACACTGGGCATCTGGAGAGGGCTGTTCATGACAGCTTTACTGTCAGCAAGCAACACTGTTACACATTTAGAAACTTTCTCATGGAGATGCAGAGGGGACATGTGATCATAATGTCCATGTTTCTGCTGTTTCATTTTTTAATGGAAATAAATATGTTCCAAAAGACCCTATTAAACATTTGAATGAATTTTGATTTTTATGTTGCTCTTAACTCCAAATATGTGAATATATTTCTGAATTGGCTTTAGTCAGATGTGAAATTGAAAAACTTACGTGTCTGTTTACATTATCAGTTATATTTCATAGAAGCCAATGTATTTGTATATGTGTTTTGGATTCCATAAGACGTGAATGTGTCACTATCAGAAGAGGGGGCGCAGTGTTTTCAGCAGTAGGAGACAGTGCCGCAGTGAGCTGCTTCCTTTGCTCTGACATCCTGGAGGCACACACACCTCCCAGCCTTAACCACAACTGGCTTACACTACAGCTACTGATACAAAACACATGCGATGTTTGTAGCAACAAGAAAAGCTTGCAGGATCTGGAGGAGACACTAAGACTTCATTTCCCTTAAATGATGAAAACATCAATCTAGAAATTTTCTCTCTGAATCCCTCCAGTCCTTGCATTTCTTCTGCCTGATACTCCAGACTTATCAGTGCCTACCCCCAATAAGCCAACACCTTTCTGTGTCAACGTCTGAGACCTGCCATACATCCGTAAGCTTCCCAGACTTGTGGCAAGTTTAAAACTTTACAAATTGATTCTGTCCTTGAAAAAAGCACCATAAGATTAATAAATCCCAAGAGGCTACAGGAAGCCATTCAGCATTTAATACCTATTTACAGCACAAAGCAAAGCTAATTATGGTTTTATTTAGAAACATCTGTAATCACTCTCTTAAACTGGTTTAGAAGTGAGTTTTGTGAAGTGTTTAAACTAGGGGTTTATTGTAGGCAGGTAAATTTGCTTGAATGTTCTTAGGTCCTGTATCAGCAGGGGAGAGAAGGGAATTTAGCTGTTATGAGGTGGGATGGGGCCTGGCTTGGCAGGATTTTAGAGTACTGCTCTTCAATAGAGCAAACTTTGTTCTGGTGATGTTTCCTTAAATACAAGCTTACTGGCTAATGGATTATTTGGCGTTTCCCAGAGTACAACACTTACCCAGACTTCAAACAGCCTGTTTGATAAGATCATACCTACTTTGATTGGAAGATGTTTTTCATACCAGTAAAGAATTGTAGGCAGCTCCTAAACTTAGTTCATTTGCATTGAAAATGTTTACACTTACTCTGATTAGAAGAGTTTTGATATCTGACCCTAATACACAAGACCAAAAATAATGAGAAACATTTCTAAATCTCAAACATTTGTAAGTACAATACCTCTGGCTGAAAACTTGTTAAACATCATTTTTTCTTTATATTTCTCTGTAATTCTATAATGAAATTTGCATTAGTTACTTGTTACTTTTTGGTTATTGAAACAAAAATATATTTGTAAATAAAATTGCTGTGTATTTTTGTTTCTTGCTTGTTTCTGGTATAATTACATCTACTTTTTACTTAATGGACTTTTGTGTGTAATACTTTTAACTTGTAATTAGGATAAGTTATGAGAATTTGGGGGGTAATTGCTAGAATTTGTAATAATGCCATTTAGACTTTATTAGAAAAACTACTTGAAAACTAAAGTACATGCAATAGCTATAGTGATATATATACATATATATATATGTATATATATCTACAGTTTTTTTGAGAATATATAATACATAATATTGTTAAAGTTTTTGAAAGTCTCAAAATATACTCAACATTTTGAGAACAAACTTAATTTCCATAAGCTAAAGAACTTTTATTTATAAAATATAAAACTAGATAATTTATAAATCAGTGTTACTAAGACATCAGTAATTAGAGTACAATTTAGTATCCTTTATTTTGATTTCCAGTTCTTTATCTGAATTGATAATAAATGTTTTTTTGGTATTTTTGTTAAAAATTTTGAAGTTTGTACACTTTATTTGTATGTGTGCCATTTTAAAGTATATGCAAGTTCTAAGCAATAATCCGCATGTTGTACAAGTCCAGCATACTTTGTCATGAGTTTTATTTATAATTAATTTTAAGAATGGAAAAAAATTATGTAACCTCCTCCCTACCATGAACACTTTGGAATTTTCTTGTGCTAGAACACTACTATAATGTAGTACAAAGGTTGTATTTTGTGAAAAAAAAAATTAAAATCAATTTCATGCCAAAGTTTGCCTGCAAAGTACATTCTTTAATAATAATGAATATTATTCACTATTTTCCTCACATGATATTTTTCTCGCACCATATCTTCTAGCACCTGGATCCTAAAGGTAAATTTTTATTCCTCAAGAAGTTTGTAGAGCTTGTTTACATCCTTTCCTCTCCCTCTCATCCCTGGCAGGTCTTGGGCTTTAAGCAAACATTTTAGTTATGTTTGTTCATGGAAATAATGGTGCCATCTAATCTGCAGGCTCTTATAGGTTAAGTAAACCTTTGACATTTAGGTTTTTTTTTGTTTGTGCTGGGGATTGAACTCGGGACCTTGCACTTGTGAAGCAGGCGGCAGAACCACTGAGCTACATCCCTGGCCCACCATTTAGGTTTTTAAGCTTTCATTCTCCCTTAGACCTTTCATATTGTTTCAGTGTTTTTTTTTGTTGTTTGTTTGTTTGTTTTGGGTTTTTTTGCCATATGTGTTGGCTGGAGTTCCTTCCT